TGGTGAATATAATTAAAATACATTATATAAATAAATAATGAAGCCTACTAGCATTGTTCTAAATGGGGAATAAGGAAGAATAATAGAGGTGGTGATTGATCAAAGTACAATATATGCATATAGGGAAATATCACAGCAAAACCCCTTTAAATAATTAATATACAACCATAAAAAATAAAAGAGCCCTTGCATAATAGTGAAGTAATCATGAGTTTTCTTTAATCTCTGCTAATACTTGTTGTTGATAATACTTATAGAAAACAATCTTATTATTTCTAGAGGTTTGAGGCTTGCTTTAGGATTATTTTTCCCTCAATGTGACCAAGCATAAAGGCATTTGGAAAAACCTTTCCAAAACTTATTTTACAACTGATAGGTCAGAGCAAGTCACCAGTCTGTGCTGCAATCATTTACATTGAACCATTTACCTTGTTCCTAAGACTTACTTAGGTCAGCCAATCACTGAGCACTTATAATTCTCCATATTTTCTACTTTCAACACTAGAAATCTCACTGTAAGGCAGAGGCTAAAAATAGATGGAGCCTCCTGCTTGCTGGTGTTTCATATAGGAGTATTTCTAACTGAAAAAGGCTTCCAACAACATTCCTTACAAAACAAAGAGGTATTTCATTTAGTGGGGGAAAAGTCATTTCATTTTGAACAAGCTTAAATATATCCTAAAGAAGAGATGAAGATTTCAAAGTGTTCAAAGAATAGTATCTCCAGCTGCTAGTTCTAGGTCTAAAAACAGAAAGACTAAAATAGCTTCAAGATTAGGTTAACCTTCTTTGTGTTTCACATAGCATGATTCAAAGGAAAAGACACAATATTCTTCTCCTTTCCCCATTTCCAGCTCGACATGTTTCTACCCAGAAACTTGAGTTGTTCAAACACAGAAAATATGGAAATATTTGCCTACACAAATGTATTCATAATGAGAAGGAATAAGATATGATGTTGAACACAGAATAAGCATTATGATTATATTTCATATAGCAAGGTTATTATTGCTAGATGCTGGTGCTCATGTCTGTAAGCCTAGCTACTTAGGAGACTGAGATCTGGAAGACTGTCAAGAACAGTATGGGCAGAAAATTTTACTAGATTCCATCTCCAGAACAACCAGGCAGCCTAGCAAGCATGTGGGCCTGAATTCAAACCCTAGTAACACACATGCACACACACACACACACACACACACACACACACACACACACACACACACACATTATCTATTACCTTGGTTCTTTTAGCTAAAGCAGCTACATCTTACAAGAATTATATAAAGCAAATGTTTTCAGAATAAAATGTACTCTGAAGTCCAATCGTTAGGAGGCATGTGTATGCACCTGTAATCCCAGCACTTTGGAGCCTAAAGGAGGATTGTAGCCTAGACTACACAACAAGATTTATTTTATTTATTTATTTATTTGTCATGGGGCTTGAACTCTGGGCCTGGGTGCTGTTCCTGAGCTCTTCAGTTCAAGGCAAGTGCTCTACCACTTAAGCCATAGCATCACTTTCGGTTTGCTGGTGGTTAATTGGAGATGAGTCTCATGGACTTTCCTGCTGGGGCTGGCTTTGAACCATGATCCTCAGATCTCAGCCTCTTTAGTAGTTAGGATTACAGGCATGAGCCACCAGCGCCCAGCACAAGATCTTGTCTCAAACCAAACCAAACCAAACTAAACCAAACCAAGCAAAACAGAGGCCATTTACTGTTTGTTATAATATGGCAGATTATACATAATTATGAATATTATAAGTATGGATAAATTAAATATGTATAAAATAATCATAATTTTAATTTATAAAAGCTAACAAGAGCTGAAGAAATAGAGATCATTTAAAAGCACAAATTCAAAAAATTCTTTAGGTTATTCTGCATTGGAGTAACAAACTCAGCACACAAAAAGTTACACTAACAACTGCATAACATAAATACCCATCTTCTATAGACCCAGAACAGACAGCCTAGGAAAACTGATATTTAAAACATAATCCTTCTCCATTAACAGACAGCTGTTTTTCTAAATGAAGCTCTTGAACATATCTATGGAACATTTTTTGAGAGAACAAAGTGATGCTTGTCACTTACACACAGTGTTAATTCCTTCTAACTTTTCTTTGGAAGGCAATTTGTTGGAAGCAAGTGCTAAAAGAAATAAATTCCCCTCCACAGCAATATTTCCATATTTGCAGCCAACACACAATCCTTATACATATCCTGTGGCAGAACATGACCTATGAAAGCGAGACTGCAAAATGATCTTGCTCCATCTAAAATGGAATTTCAGAGCGTTGTGCTCATACATTCCAGGTAAACCCCAGCAGACTCTGGCTCTCTTACTGAACCTAGCAGAAGCTCCCAGGAGGTCACTGTCACTGACAACATGACAGCTGTAGATCAGCTGCTATCCAAACCCAACAGGGATTGAAGAGCTTCTGCCTTCTCCCCGTCTACTCATACCATCCATTCTATTATTGCTCCAATCACTTTCTAGATGTGCAGAGATCAATGACTTTTCCAGTTGCCTATCTTTTTGTTTCTCATTAAACTTTGACTTAATGGCTCTCAAAATTCTGTGACAGATTTTTGGTCACGTTTCCATTAAAAAGTACTGATTTTTAAAAACTAATAACTTAAAAACTGCCACACAAAAAAAAAATGGTCCACAAAACATTTTCCTTTCCTTCTGAAGGTTTTACAGTGCATTGTTATCAGTTGCCTATCTTATGTACTTGGATTTTAGAAAAATTATGTTTGTACAAAAAAATCATCATGTGTGCCATATGTATTGGAGAAGAGAAGTAGAGGTGGTTACTGAACATATCGCCTAGGAATCTACATTTTTAAGATCAGCAATTCTTTTTTTGGGGGGGTCCCATCATGGGGCCTGAACTCTGGGCCTGGGCGCTGTCCCTCAGCTCTTCAGCTCAAGGTTAGTGCTGTACCACTTGAGCCATAGTGCCTCTTCCGGCTTTTTTCTTTTTGCTTTTGTGGTGCTGAGGAATCGAACCCAGGGCCTCTGGCATGCAAGGCATGTGCTCTACCACTGAGCCACCTTCCCAGCCCAAGATCAGCAATTCTTTCTGTAGGCTGCAGAGTTTTAATTTTACAAAAGCTCAAGTACTTTGCAAGTGGATTGTAGTCCCCATGAAATATTTCATTTCATGAATACTGATGAATAAAAATTGCCTTGGACTAAGAAAGTAAATGTCTATTCAACACTCAGTAGGCTGGACTAACAGTCACAGATAAACTAACTGTGGAGGTCATAGGAACCAACATTTCTCTCAAGGACACTGCTATTAAACAAGATTATAGTAACCTCCTTTGGATAAGTACAGACTCACCAAGAAATTCTCTTATTTGATAGCAAAGACTAACAGTAAGCTTGCTGTTTGAAACTACATTCATAAGACTGAAACATGTCACTCTTGCCTGGAGGGTCTCTGTTACTTACTGATGCAAAAACAAACAAAAAAAAAACAGCCTCAACTCCTTCTCCAAGCAAAGAGTTTCTGAGTATAACATTTCACATTTATCTTAAGTTTATTGTTACCAAGGAAATGAGATCCTGACTTTGTTTTGCACATTAGGCCTGTGTCTAAACTCCATTCTTCTAGAATCTTAAAATAATTCTTATTGTCTACCATGTTGTCTCCTTCATAGCACTGGGCCAATAAATATAATTTTGGCCCAGTATAGATTTGCTCCTAGTATTTTTAAGATGACTAAAATAAAGCCTCTGTGTGTGTGTGTGTGTGTGTGTGTGTGTGTGTGTGTGTGTGTGTGTTGGTCCTGGGGCTTAAATTCAGGGTCTGTGTCATGCCCCTTAGTTTTTATGCTCCAAGCTAGTGTTCTACTACTTGAGCCATAGCACTTCCAGTTTTTTACTGCCTAATTGGAGATAAGTCTCTCACAAACTTTCCTATTTAGCTGGCTTCAAACCATGATACTCAGCTCTCAGACTCCTGAGTAGCTAGAATTGCAGGGTCTGGCACAGGCACCTGGCAAGGCATTTGTTTGCTTGTTTGTTTGTTTGTTGTTTTTACTTTTTGCCAGTTCTCGGGCTTGAACTCCAGTCCTGGGCACTTTCCTTAAGCTTCTTTTGTTCAAGGCTACCACTTGATCTATAGCACCACTTCCAGCTTTTTCTGAGTAGTTTGTTGGAGATAAGAGTCTCATAGACTTTCCTACCGGGGCTGGCTTTGAACTGTGATCCTCAGATCTCAGCCTCCTGAGTAGCTAGGATTACAGGCATGAGCCACTGGCACTGGGCTCATTTTTTTTTTTTGGGTCCGGTCGTGGGGCCTGAACTCTGAGCCGGGGCACTGTCCCTCAGCTCTTCAGCTCAAGGCTAGTGCTCACCACTTGAGCCACAGCACCACTTCCGGCTTTTTTCCTTTTGCTTATGTGGTGCTGAGGAATCGAACCCAGGGCTTCAGGCATGCAAGGCAAGCGCTTCTACCACTGAGCCAACTTCCCAGCCCTGGGCTCATATTTTTTAATATAATTTTTCAGCTAAAGAAAAGATCTGCTTAAATAATAGCTCAGAATTTTTATTTTGGCCTTTCAGACACAGAAAAAAAATAAAGTACATCTGCTATAGTTCAGTTGCCTGTGACTATACAGGTTTTTCATCTAAGCAGAAAGAACATAAGAGCCAGGAAACCAGCTGTGAGTGTTAAAGTGATATTTTCTGGCTCTGCTGCTGCTAAAGTAACCTGTGGCAAAACTCCTCTGCTTCTAGAAATATCACAGCTAGCAACTCAAGCAAGCCTTGCCAGTGTGACTCTGAAGCTCTCTGTAAATTTCAAAGAGATAATAAAAGGAAACAGGTATAGACACAGGGCTCAAGTCTCCAAAAACAGTCCCCCTTTACCCTGGTTTAAAGGTAGGGCTGCCATATTTAACAAGAAGAAAATAGCTATTTAGGAAGATGGTTGAGAGCATGTGCCTCTTTTCTAAGGTTGGAGGCTGCTCCTGACATACCCGTGAGAGTAGCCATAATCATAGGCTGAAGCTGCCTTCCGACTGACTTCAGAACCAGAGTATTGTGTGGCCCCAAGACTGTAGGCCTGAGAGGCCTGCTGCTGGTAGGAGGAAGCAGACACCTGGCTAGAGGCCTCTGATTCCTGGCGGTGTGCCGCAGAGGAGCGGCTGCTGTAGGCTGTGGAGCCATGGGTGTAGATGGCAGATCGCTTCTTCTCCTGCTGGTAGTGGCTCATGGTAGTGCGTAGGTCCTTGTTGCGGTAGCTGAGATCATAGTGCTGATGAGACTTCTGATAGAAAGGCAAAGACATCATGTGGCCTTGAGGAAAGGAGACCACCTACAAGAAGAGAACAATCCTTCAGTGAACCATTGAGGAGCAAGTCACTTCAAGCAGTGTGTAAGAATTCCTACCCTTCTCTTTCCAATGACTAAATGGAAAAGGAAGTGAAGTTCAGACCCACTGAATAAACTACTCAATAAACTCCCTCTTTCACTGCCCACAGATGCCCCTTCTGTCATTGTGGTTTCTTTATTTCTAGCTTTTACTCTTGCTACCTTACTTTTGCCTCCAACCATAGGTAATACATGGTTTTTATTTTTTAGCATTCTATTCTGGCTTTATTTGGGACCATAGGTAATGGGGAAAGTAATTGAATAATAGTAATAACTAAATTATCCAACAAATAATTAGTGAGTGTTATGAACCAGAATTACTCCAACACAAGGCAATAAAAAGGTGAACAAAGAAAATTTATGCTCTAATCTTATATATACATTTATCTAATTTGAGGAGGGGAAGGGGAATAACAAAATGCTGAAACAAGGACGCAGGATGACCCATTGCAACAATGATATTCTCAAGACACTGTGTTGGAAATGAACTTAAAACAGGGCAGGAGGAATGGGGAAGGTGGGGGAGGGAAGGGATGGTAGGAGAAAAACAAAAAAGGGGGTAACAATACTCAACAAGAAATGTACTCATTACCTTACTCATGTAACTATAACCCCTCTGTACAGCTCTTTACAATAAAAAAATATATATACCTGTGGTAAAAAAAGAAAAAGAAAATATCTGCTCTAATAGCCTACCACAGGTGTATATTCTATTTTAAGAGACAGGCAATAATGAAAATTAATTAGTAAGGTATATCTGAGTGTACTAACTGCCATGGAAAAAATAAATAAGAAAGAGAGATGGATATAATTTCAAACAGCCTCATTAGGTCTGGCCTCACTCAAAAGTAACATCTGAGCATGGAATATCTGGCGGGGGTTGAGGGGGGCAATGCTTCAGTTAGAAGGAACCCCAGTACATAGCAAAGGTATCAGGGGTTGGAAAATGAGGAAGATGTATAGGAGATGATGTTTGAGGTGAGGAGAACTAAATGGATAAAGAACAGAGTGTAAGGTCCTATAGGCCACTGTAAGGACTTGGCTTTTATTCTGAAAGAGCTGAGAAGTCACTGCAAGTCATCAGCTTGGAGAAGAGACTGTTGCGAGACAAGTGAGAAAACCAAAGGTCATATAGGCTGAGTTGTAACCCCTCAAATCCATAAGCTTGACCACAACTCTAACCTTCAGAATGTGACTTTATTTGGAGAAAGGATCTTGAAAAGGGAAGTTAAAATGAAGTTATTCAAGTGAACTCTAATCCCACATGAAGCATTGCTATATGAAAAAGAAATTAGAATGCGTATCAGTACATATAACGGAGGACCATGAGTAGACACAGAGGACATCTATAAGCCAAGGAGAGACCTCAGCAAAAACAATCCCTGCTAATACCTTGATCTCAGATATTTAGCCTCCAGAACTGTAAGGAAGTGTATTTCTGTTAGTTACGCTATCTAGTTGTGAAACAGTTACAGTGCACACAAATACAACTTCCACAACCCAAACCAGTGGTGACCACGAAGTGGAAGAAGTGGCCAGGCTTCATGTAGGGTCTCTCAAGGTGTAACCAGTAGTACCTGAATTGTAGTGTGAAGGAGAGAGATGACACCAAGGATTTTGTCTGAGCAACTAGAAGTCTAAGGTTACTGCTGGGTGAGAGGGTGAGGATAAGAAAGCATCAGTTTGGAAGTAAAGACTGGTTTAAGACTCTGCACTTGAAGATGCCTGCTATTTCATCAAGTCGGATACAGGGGAGAGGTCTAGAATGGAGCTCTACATGTGAGAGTCAACAGTAGGCAGGTGGTACTGAAAGCCCATTGTAAATGGAAAAGCCCAAGGACTGAACCCTAGAGCCTGATAATATACAAGCTCTCAATCTCACAAACATTTTTTTAAGTATAGTTTCAAATTAGAAAATGTACTTGGCTCCATTAGGAAATATAGAGGCTTCCAGTCTTCCCACAGAAAGAAGAGAGTCAGTGTTCAATGTGGCGTTAGCATTGTGAACCTGACATAGCCATTCTGCTGAATATCAGAGGTGTTTTGCCTAGCACCAAGAGGGGAGGAGTCACATTGTATTAGCTTTCTTTAATAATCTGTTTACTGACATGAGGCCTATTAGCCACATGGGCAGCCTGGGATGAAGCAACAGTTTTATAGAAGTACCTTATCCCCATTTGTAAAGTTATTTCTGGCATGTTCTGAAATGTTATCTTAAAATCATATTTTAAAATTATTTTGGGGGGCTGGGAGGTTGGTTAAGTGGTAAAGCGCTTGCCTTGCATGCATGAAGCCCTGGGTTCGATTCCTCAGCACCACATAAGCAAAAAGAAAAAAAGCTGGAAGTGGCGCTATGGCTCAAGTGGTAGAGCACTAGCCTTGAGCTGAAGAGCTGAGGGACAGCGCCCAGGCCCAGAGTTCAGGCCCCACAACCGGACCCAAAAATATATATATATTTTGGAAGCCAGGCACTAGGGTTTATGCCTGTAATCCTAGCTATTCAGGAGGCTGAGATCAGAGGATCACAGCTCAAAGCCAGCCAGGCAGGAAAGCCATGAGACTCTTATCTCCAATTAAACACAGAAAAAGCTAGAAATGGTGCTGCTGCTCAAGTGGTAGAGTGCTGGCCTTGAGCAAAAAGGAGGTTAGAGACAGCGCTCAGGCCCAGAATTCAAGACCCAGAACTGGTGCACACGTGCATGCACACGTGCAAACAACACACACACACACACACACACACACACACACACACACACACACACACACACACACACACACAAGGAAATAATCAGGCTTCTAAAAGATCTTTTTTTGGGGGGTGGGTAGACCAAGGCTTGAACTCAAGACCTCATGCTTGCTCAGCTGGTACTCTACCACTTGAGCTGTACCTCCAGTCTGTATTTTTGCTAGTTTATTAGAGATGGAATCTAATAGATTTCTTGCCCAGGCTGGCTTTGAACTTTGATCCTTCATGGATCTTAGCCTGCAGAGTAGCTAAGATTATAGATGTGAGCAAATAGCTTTCAGTTAAAATTTATTATTTTTTAAATCACATGTGACTCCTCTAAAATTTTAATTTTTATATTAGTGTATATTAATTGTACAAATCAGTGTATATTAATTTTCCAAAATCACTGTGAAACATGCATGTGTAGACTTACATCAGATTTATTCCTTCTGTTATTTAAAGCTACTTTCTATTTAAACTATATATAAATTCAGTATATATTCCCTAGAGAAGAAAATCTAGCAAATTTCATTCCTGAAATATTTATCTAAGGTCCCATGGAAGATATCAGTCTACATGGCATTTCCTAAGAGGAAAAAAATAGCTACTAGCAAGCAGCTCCTTAATTAGACAGCTATTTTCTGCTATTAAATATACAGAATAATCATCATGCAAAATGAATAATCATTAGATAAATTTTAATAATATAAAGGAGTTAAACATTAATATGAAACTATTTTAAGCAGTTATGAAGGTATTTCAATACGTTTCTGTGATGTTATTCACTACATTATCTATTATACAAATGCTGTTTGAATGGTTTCCAAATAAATAATAAAAGCACTTCTACTATATTATAAGCTAAATTCACTACCCAAATGATTTGAAATGCTGTAATTTTTCACAAAATAAAATCTTTAAATATCCAGCCCCAATTCTGTTGTCCACTCCTTATTTTTATTTTCCCCAAATGTATTCATCTTTAATTGTATTTCATGTTCCATACACATAGCTCATGTATTATTAAGTAAGCAGAGTTTGACTTTAAGTCAAAAGAGCTGACCTCCAGAACAAAGATTTAACTACCTTCTTTCTCCCCATCAAGTAAACAAGGCCTATACCACCACATTACAGCTAGAGTTTGCTGAGAGAAAGATGGTTTTGAGGATAACTTGGGAATTTAGGAAGAAATACAAACTCCAAAGTTGTCATTTTGATGTGTGATTTTCATATATACAGTAGAGGCAAAAAGCTGGTCAAGATTGTTCATAGAGTGATCTCCTCAGGATCATGATGTTGGGATTTATGCTGCCTCTGAAAAAATTACTGCCTCATTTTCAAGTCAAGAATATCGTGATTTGCTCATAGATTCATCCACACAGCACCATCAGAGTAAAATCACTGAAGTATAACCTAGCAAGTTCAGAGTGAATTTGCTTTCTCTTGAGCTAATCTGTAAACAGAGTATTGTAGGCTACAGAGAAAGAAAGAACCTCCTGTCCCTCGTCCACTCCAGATTTCAACTGTTGAACTCTAACTTAGAAAGAGTACTTACGTTGAATGTGAGATAAATGTGATCTTACAGTTCCAGGAACAGTAGCTTCATTTAAAAAGAATACAGTTATCTGAGAACAGCCTTGCCAGCCCCACCAGCACCCTGCTGTTCTGATTTCACTTCCAGAAGCTACACTGTCCCATTTGGAGCAAAGAAATTCTTCTGACATCTCAGTGAGAAAACTGCTATGCTCAAAAGCCAAAGAGAAAGCCATCCACACTGCAGTGCTACTGAGATATAAACTATTCAGACCATTTTTTTTCCTACCATAATATCACACTTACCAGTTTCCAAAGGAGGGATACTAGGGAAATGTTCCGATGTCGCTAGGAGTTGGAAGAGAGAATGCAAACCCCACCTAGGCTGAATCCAAGAAAAAGTTAAGAGGCAGGGCTAAAGACCGGGGGCCAGTTCAAAAATAATGCATGTGGTCAGGCAGCAGAATGCCAGGGCGACTCAGCCAGCCTTTTATGGCCAAGAAGGGGGATAAATATAGTAGCACATGGGAGGGTAGTCCCAGGCCTTGAGGAGAGCCCAGGCAGGTACTGCCTTGGTAATGCAATTGTGTTGAGGCCAGTCAGCGTGCCTGGAGTGATTACACCAAACACAGGATTTTTATTGAGCTAGAAGGTCTACCTTCAACATCACA